GAAATAGGGCCGGTTGTACAATATACCGATAAATCTACCTGATATCTATCCGCCCGATAAACTTATCAGGAGGATAAAGATATTCGCAGTTGTATAAACTGTTTTTGTCGGTAGGATTGCTATCGGCGAAATAAGAGTCGGTTGGTAGTAGTTTTTCCCCATATCTAGTGATTTATGCCGTAGAATGGTAACGCCAACGTCTTTCTTTGAAGTTTGAATTATGATTTTGACAATATAAATTGTTTAAAAAAATTTTCACTGACACATCGTACATATAAGGTTAACGTTTAATGTTAGAGGTTAACCTATGCAGTAATCATACAAAGTTTTTATATAAAAACCTTGGTAACCATAAATATCTGGCGGATAAGTGTCTTATCGGCACCGCTGAGTATCCGATAAGTTATCCTGCCGATAATCTCACCGACAAAAATATCCGTACATTGTAATACAGTACAAACTAACTTATCTGCCAGATAACGCTGTCGGGAAGTTTATCGGTATATTGTACAACCGGCCCTTAGTGACTTATAATTCGAAATGTTATTAAAAAAATTGTGTAAAATTGTTAAAAATAAGTACTAAGAATGTAAAGTTTTAGGATTGAAATGAATAGGATTGTTTTGGTGTGCACGACTCTTTACAAAATTTAAACAATATTAGAAACACGAAAATATAAATGATTTTCTGAAGAATGGAACTAATCACCTTTCAGGAAAAGTCATTTATCTTGTCGGTTTCTCATCTAACTTGAAGTTTAATTATCGTTTTTGCGATATATCTTACTTCTTTTCTACAAAATCCAGTCTAACTTTTTTCTCGCAATTTTTTTATTTTTAGATTTGTTATGAAGATTAGAATTTTCAAAATAATTGAAGGCATAATCAAGGAAGCTTAAGAAGAATTTTGATTTTGTTCGTGAAAATATTGAGCTAGCACGAGAAGGTAGCAGTTGGTACATCATTTGCGATGGCCAAACATAGAATTGGACTGTGAGCTGAAGAGAAACTTCGCCTACTGTGAAGAACTAACTGTGAACAAAAACTAATACTAGACCCGGAACTAGAACCATTCGGGTTAAGCCTTAATAGAAGCCCTAATTCTAGGTCTAGTGTTAGTTCTAGTTTTACACTAGCACTATCACTAGAACTAACACAAGAACTCGAACTAGAATCATTCGGGTTTCCGTCTAGAGAGTAAAAAGAAGCACCTAAAAGTAACTCTAAAAAATTTAAATTGACAAGTAAAAAAACAAACTATATGTATTTAAGTTAAAAAAGTGAAAAAAGATACTTAGGGAAGTTGTCAGAATTAAAAAAATTGATTTTGACGTTTTTTGAATGATTTCAAAGATAACAACAAATAGATAAAGTTGATTGTTGTGTATCAAAATGCTTCAAATTGATTGGAAACGTTGTAAAATTACTTGTCAAAGATAAAATAAGTTAAAAAAGTGAATGGGGATGCTTTCGAAAAGATTTGAAACAATTTTGAATATCAAAAAAGGTGATTGGTGTGAATCAAAATGGGTCTAATCGTTTCTAACCATCTTTATAACACTTGGGGAAGTTGTCAGAATTAAAGAAATTGATTTTGAAGCATTTTGAATGTCTTTAAAGATAACAACAAGTAGATAAAGTTGATTGTTGTGTATCAAAATGCTTCAAATTGATTGGAAACGTTGTAAAATTACTTGTCAAAGACAAAATGAGTTAAAAAAGTGAATGGGGATGCTTTCAAAAAGATTTGAAACAACTTTGAATGTCAGAAAAGGTGATTGGTGTGAATCAAAATGAGTGTAATCGTTTCTAACCATCTTTATAACACTTGGGGAAGTTGTCAGAATTAAAGAAAATGATTTTGACGTTTTTTGAATGGCTTTAAAGATAACAACAAATAGATAAAGTTGATTGTTGTGTATCAAAATGCTTCAAATTGATTGAAAACGTTGTAAAATTACTTGTCAAAGATAAAATAAGTTAAAAAAGTGAATGGGGATGCTTTCATAAAGATTTAAAAGAATTTTGAATATCAGAAAAAGTGATTGGTGTGAATCAAACTGGGTCTAATCGTTTCTAACCATCTTTATAACACTTAAGGAAGTTGTCAGAATTAAAAAAAATTGACTTTAATGCTTTTTGAATGGCTTTAAAGATAACATCAAATAGATAAAGTTGATTGTTGTGTATCAAAATGCTTCAAATTGATTGGAAACGTTGTAAAATTACTTGTCAAAGACAAAATAAGTTAAAAGTTTTTCGTAGCAGTCTTGAGAGACGTTGTCTAGTGTTAGTTCTAGTTTTACACTAGCACTGCCACTAGAACTAACACAAGACCTAAAACTAGAATCATTTGGGTTTAGCCGTCTTTAGAGACGTGCGGCTAAACCCAAATGATTTTAGTTTTAGGTCTTGTGTTAGTTATACTTTTATTTCAGTAATACTGTTGTTACTGCCGTTAATGTCTGGCAGATTTTACAAGTGAGGTTGAGTGGAACTAATCATTTTGGGTTATTGTACATTTTTTTGATTTGATAATTTTCAGCAGTAAATCCTCTGCGAGCAATATCTGATTTTTTGCAAGCTGTATCTAGTCTTCCATTAGCAATTTCTATCCTTATGTGAGCAATATTTAATTTTCGGTCATCAGCAACTACATGATCCTCTACAAGCAACGTCTAGTCATCAGCAAGCAGTATCTAATCTTCTGCAAACAATATCTAGTCTTCTGCAACCAATATCTAGTCTTCTGATAGCAGTATTTAGTCTTTTGCAAGTAATATTTGGCCTAGATTTATCTCTTACTATGATTTTTTAACTTTCTCCTTTCTATAGAGTTAAAAAAGAGTTGTTCGATCGATTTTTTCAATCCATCCTTCATTGGTTCCTCTAAACTATTAAATCCCAATTAGAATTAGAATATCAAGTTGCATTGAATCGTTGCATTAAGTTTTTATTCCGCCATTCTAACCTCACTTTTAACTTCTTGCTTAACAATCTCTTCTCCGTTAACCTACCGGGACTAGATCCATAACCTATTGGATTCTGTTTCAGTGCTTTAGTTTAAATGTTATTAATTTATATGCTTATAATGACGCTATCCTTGTGTCAAATGTTTTTAATACCAACCTTAAAGATAATAAATTTGCCCTTTAAATCAGATTTGCCAACTTAAAGTAATCATTTTGACATTTCAATTTTAAATTTTTTTTAAATATTTCTTCTATTTTGCTCAATTACCAGTCTGGCAGATTTTACAAATGAGGTTGAGTATTTGACATGGCCTTACTAAAAGAACTAGAATCATTCGGGCTTAGCCGTATTGAGAGACGTGCGGCTAAACCAGAAATTTTCTAGTTCTTGTGTTCTAGTTTTAGTTTAATAAAAATATACAATCTAGCGCTGAATAACATCTAAAACTAGAACCAACACCATCTTACTAACGCCATTTCTTGTAGGTGCTTTTGTAGCGCAGAAATAATAACTTAAATTGCCCGAACTAATTGCATAACAATTATTTCCAGAATTTTTCACGTTTGCTTAATTTCAATTTATATAAAGGTATGTTTCATCAAATTTAATTAAGTTACATTGTAAAATTAATTTATCATTGTAAATTATAGGCATGCAAAAATGGTTACCAATGAGATAGTGGATGATTTAAATTCATTTAAGAATATGAGCATGCATAAAATTGGTTTATTGGATTCACCAAGTATTGTGGTAAGTATTGTGATTTCAATCACATCTCAAAATTAATAGATCTCTTACTATTACATGCTTACATTTTGTATTGTTTATAAAATTGTNAAAGAATTTTGAATATCAGAAAAAGTGATTGGTGTGAATCAAAATGGGTCTAATCGTTTCTAACCATCTTTATAACACTTGGGGAAGTTGTCAGAATTAAAGAAATTGATTTTGACGTTTTTTGAATGGCTTTAAAGATAACAACAAATAGATAAAGTTGATTGTTGTGTATCAAAATGCTTCAAATTGATTGGAAACGTTGCAAAATTGCTGGTCAAAGACAAAATAAGTTAAAAGTTTTTCGTAGCCGTCTTGAGAGACGTGGGGCTAAATCCGAATGTATCTAGTTCTCGGTCTAGTGTTAGTTCTAGTTTTACACTAGCATTGCCACTAGAACTAACACAAGACCTAAAACTAGAATCATTCGGGTTTAGCCGTCTTTAGAGACGTGCGGCTAAACCCAAATGATTCCTCTATTTGAAATCTCTGAAATTTTTCCTCTATTTTGCTCAATTACCAGTCTGGCAGATTTTACAAGTGAGGTTGAGTGGAACTAATCATTTTGGGTTGTTGTAAATTTTTTTGATTTGATAATTTCAGCAGTAAATCCTCTGCGAGCAATATCTGATTTTTTGCAATCTGTATCTAGTCTTCCATTAGCAATTTCTATGCTTATGTGAGCAATATTTAATTTTCGGTCATCAGCAACTACATGATCCTCTACAAGCAACGTCTAGTCATCAACAAGCAGTATCTAATCTTCTGCAACCAATATCTAGTCTTCTGATAGCAGTATTTAGTGTTATGCAACCAGTATCTAGTCTTTTGCAAGCAATATTTGGCCTAGATTTATCTCTTACTATGATTTTTTAACTTTCTCCTTTCCATAGAGTTAAAAAAAAGTTGTTCGATCTAGATCCATATCCTATTGAATTCTGTTTCAGTGCTTTAGTTTAAATGTTATTAATTTATATGCTTATAATGATGCTATCCTTCTGGCAAATGGTTTTAATACCAACCTTAACGATAAAAAATTTACCCTTTAAATCAGTTTGCCAACTTAAAGTAGTCATTTTGACATTTCAATTTTAAATTTTTTTTAAATTTTTTTCAGAGTGGCAGATTTTACAAGTGAGGTTGAGTGGAACTAATCATTTTGGGATGTTGTAAATTTATTTGGCATGGTCTTACAGCCGTGTTAGTTCTAGTTTTGCACCAACAATATCACTAGAACTCACACCATATTAACGCCATTTTTTGTAGGTACTTTTGTAGCGCAGAATTAGCAACTTAAATTGCCCTAACTAATTGCGTAACAATTATTCCCAGAATTTCTCACGTTTGCTTAATTTCGATTTATATAAAGGTATGTTTCAACAAATTTAATTAAGTTACATTGTAAAATTAAAATGTATTTGTTTTCTAGATACAGCAAGAGAAGACAACGCAGAATTATAGGCATGCAGAAATGGTTATGAATGAGGTTGGGGATGATTTAAATTCATTTAAGAATATGAGCATGCATAAAATTGGTTTATTGGATTCACCAAGTATTGTGGTAAGTATTGTGATTTCAATCACATCTCAAAATTAATAGATCTCTTACTATTACATGCTTACATTTTGTATTGTTTATAAAATTGTTACATAACACGACTTTAAAAAGATTATCACGTACATCTTACACAACTAATTGTAATTCATGGAACAAACAATTGCGGTTAGTTATAAAACCGCGGATTTTAACGCGAATTGAATACATAACGCACTAGAAAATGATCGATTCTGAACTCCACAAATAGAGACTTCGTAGTAAATAGTAATAAATTATTTGCCAAGAGCACTCGCGTGAAACGCGGGTGATATTTTTAGAAAAAGTGCATCCTACGCGTTTCCGCGCAGTAATTCGTGAAAGTTCATTCATACCATCCGTTGACGACGAATTCCTCTAAAAATAAATGGCGGTCCAAAAGGGAGAGGAAATAAGATGAGTTTATGTTTTAAATAAAAATAAATAATTTTATTCAGTTAACGGCGACCAACACAACTTACAATAAATAATTCGTATCTACATAATACATAAATATTATTTACAAAGAAAATGGGATGAGCGTGGTGTAATTTGGTTTTAAATGGATTCCCCTAAAAACAACCACTTCGTAAATTTAGTTCTAATTACAGCCGGATGTGTATATTGCCAAATTTCCAAGAAAACGACCAACAGTACGAATTAACCTAAAATTCGCGCGAGGATTTCGAGCTCTCCGTTTATTTTCGGGCAAGATTGACAGAGCGACTCCAATTGTATGCGATTTAAGGAGGTTTATTTAAAACCAAATTACCCACAAAAAAATCGGCACTTTTAAAACAAGACCAGCTCGGTTTTAAGAAGAACCAAAACGAATGAAACTTAACTAAAAAATAAGTTATAACTATTTAAATTAAATCTAACGGATGGCGACATAATTTTATTATAAATTACACAATTTGTACATTTCCTACTTTTCTAATAACATTAATGTATATATTAATTATTGTACTCTCGTTATGGAAATTTTATTTTGCGTATAACTACGATTTGAAATAATGAAGTTACTGTCGTGATTCATTTTTGTGGCAAGGAAAATTGGTTAAAGATGGCGCGAGTACGATTAAATAGACAAATATACACGTGAATACACTCTCAAAAACATTTAATTATTAATTTTAATTAATTCATCAAATACTTTTAAGAGTACCTTATACAGAGGATATATAGTACGTCTCGAAATTAACCTTTTCACCCTCTCCCGCACGTGGATAATGATGTTTAAAAAAAAAACTAAACGACAACCGTTATAGGAGTAGAGAATTTTACACGTGACACACGTGGCGGGCGGAAACACATCCTTTTTTTCATCTTGAGCTATCGAATCCATTCGAACTAGACTACGTTTTGCCGTTGATGTGCGACTTGTTCTCTTCGATGTACACGTTTCCAACCTTCCCGCTGTTCATATTCGGATCCTTCCGCACTGAAACAGGAAACAGAGTTGATGTGAAATGGTATCGTTTCGTTTTTACGGACGAAATGGGGAAAGGAACGTTGTCGTGTTGGGACATCCGGTCTATTCGGTCTGATGCACATGATGTGTTTCATGTTGGGTGTCTTGAAATAAGTTGGGATTACATCTCAAAAAGAATGAAATTAAAAAAAAGCTATTTGAGAGACTTAGTGAGTTGTAATTCGAAATGTTATTAAAAAATTTATGTAAAATTGTTAAAAATAATTACTAAGAATGTAAAGTTTTAGGATTGAAATGAATAGAATTGTTTTAGTGTGCACGACTCTTTATGAAATTTTAATAATATCAGAAACACGAAAATATAAATGATTTCTGGAGAATAGAACTAATCACCTTTCAGGAAAAGTCATTTATCTTGACGGTTTCTTATCTAACTTGAAGTTTAATTATCGTTTTTGCGATATATCTTACTTCCTTTCTACAAAATTGAGTCTAATTTTTTTTTGCAATTTTTCTTTTAGATCTGTTATGAAGATTAGAATTTTCAAAATAATTGAAGTCATAATCAAACAAGCTTAAGAAGAATTTTGATTTTGTTGGTGAAAATATTAAGCTAGCACGAGAAGGTAGCAGTTAGTATATCATTTGCGATGGCCAAACATAGGATTGGACTGTGGGCTGAAAAGAGACTTAGCCTACTGTGGACTACTTCTCCTGGAATCAGCGACGCACGGCTAAATCTGAATGATTCTAGTTCTAGGTATAGTGTTAGTTGTAGTTTTACACTTACACTGCAATAGAACTAACATTAAACCTAGAACTAGAAACATTTGGGTTTAGCCGTACGTCTCTAAAGACGGCTAAACCCGAATGATTCTAGTTCTAGTATAGTGTTGGTTCTACATAGTAATAGTGCTAGTATAAAACTAGATCTAACACTAGACCTATAACTAGAAAGTTTCGTGTAGTGTTAGTTCCAGTGACAGTGCAAGTGTAAAACTAGAACTAACACTATAAATAGAACTAGAATCATTCGGGTTTAGCCGTCTTTAGAGACGTGCGGCTAAACCCGAATGTTTCTAGTTCTAGGTCTAGTGTTAGTTTTAGTTTTAATTATTGTGCACTCTAGACCCAGAATTAGAATCATTCGGGTTTAGCAGTCTTAAGAGACGTACGGCTAAACCCAAATGTTTCTAGTTCTAGGTATAGTGTTAGTTCCAGTGACAGTGCAAGTGTAAAACTAGAACTAACACTATAAATAGAACTAGAATCATTCGGGTTTAGCCGTCTTTAGAGACGTGCGGCTAAACCCGAATGATTCTAGTTCTAGGTATAGTGTTAGTTCTAGTTTTAATGGTTGTACAGCTCTAGACCCAGAATTAGAATCATTCGGGTTTAGCAGTCTTAAGAGACGTACGGCTAAACCCAAATGTTTCTAGTTCTAGGTATAGCGTTAGTTCTAGTGACAGTGCAAGTGTAAAACTAGAACTAATACTATAACTAGAACTAATACTATAACTAGAACTAATACTATAACTAGAACTAATACTATAACTAGAACTAGAATCATTCGGGTTTAGCCGTCTTTAGAGACGTGCGGCTAAACCCGAATGATTCTAGTTCTAGGTATAGTGTTAGTTCTAGTGATAGTGCAAGTATAAAACTATGAGGGATACTATAATAGCTCGGTCTTTTAAAATTTTGCTTAATTTTACTGTGGCTGCTCTAGCTGTTATTCAAATTCAAAGTTTATTTTGTCACAAAAAATATTAACACTCGCCAGGTACATACATTGCAAAGCAAAAAAGTAAAGAACAAACTTATAAAAAATCCGACAGTATAATCTGGTCAGTCAAATATTCAGAGCATGCGTAGTAGGTCTTTTTCTGTAAAAATGACTTAATACTACATTTAAACTTGTTTAATGGAAGCCTTCTGATTCTCTCTGGAATCTTGTTGTAAAATTTGAGAGACAAACAGTTGAAACTCCTCTGGCTCCTGGAGAGCCGGCAATACTCAGGCACTAACAGATCACGTCCTCTGGTCTGGTAATTGTGCACATCCTTGTGCGTGATAAATTTATCAAAATTACTGTTTGCGTATAAAATATTTTCTAATATATACAATGAAGGGAAGGTTAGTATATTTAATTCAACAAATGAGTTTTTATTGTCATCTCTATATTTCAAATTATCAAGTATCCTTATTGCTCGCCTTTGAAGTCTAAAAACTCGATCACTGGATGCTGCACCACCCCAAACCAGTATTCTGTAGGCAATAACAGATTAAGGTCCATTACTACCATCTTTTAGTTAAATTTGTCTTATAGATAAACCCATCTAGTAGCCAATCAGAGCGCGTAAAATAGCCGTAACCGTGGTAATAATCCCTAAGATAGCTTAACCAGAAGATGGTAGTAACGAGCCTAAGGCCCACTTTTAACATCCTCCTGATAAACTATCTAGAGGATAGTTGCCATGGTTACGGTGGTTTGAAGCACTCTCATTGGCTTAGGTCCATTACTACCATCTTTTAGTTAAATTTATCTTATAGATAAACCCATCTACTAGCTAATCAGAGCGCGTGAAATAGCCGTATCCATAGTAATAATCCCTTAGATAGCTTAACCAGAAGATGGTAGTAACGAGCCTAAGAGCTGGATTTATCTATGGGATAATTTCAATGGGTGGTAAAAGTGAGCCTAATAGTTATAACAGTACATTCCTTCATTCGTAGTTTGCAACATTCCTAATATCGTTATTTCCGATAGACCGGCAACTATTTTCATTACCTTAACTTTGAGGTATTAATTTTTAAACCTAGCCGTATGTACTGTCGTTTAACTTGGCTATAACCTCCGTTAGTTCTTCTCCGCTTACTGCGTACCTCACACTGCTAAACTACTTTCCATCAATCGAGACGCCCTCGTTCCAATAATCAAAAACTTAGCTCATGACAAATTTGTTATATGTGCTGTGTAGGAGAGAAGGTGGTGTTTGTTTTGGTATAGTTGTTGTTTTTTCCATATAAATGTTGAATCAAAATGACTAAATGATCTGGCGTGCCTATTACCTTGAGTATATTCCACAATCTAACAAATTGAATGACTTCATGTAGTCTACGAGGCATAGATGTCTCTTATGTTATGTTTTTTTGCCCTTTCAATGATCAGTCGTATGTTTAACATTTGTTCTTTTCTTTGTTCTTTTGATAACTTGCAAGCAAAAATACTTTTAGCCCTTCATTAATTACCAAAACATCTGTTCTGTAATTATTGGTGAGCTTTTTTTATGAATTATTATAACCAGTGATTCGCACCATTTTGTTCACCATTGTTTCTGCTCCATATTTTTGAACATAGAGTGTGCATGATTTCTGCTTTTTGTCCTACGACAGCTTTGAAAATCATGGCAGGTATATTCCTAGTTTTAAATGTTGTGCACCGCTAGACCAAGAACTAGAATCATTCGGGTTTAGCCGTCTTAAGAGACGTACGGCTAAACCCAAATGTTTCTAGTTCTAGGTTTAATGTTAGTTCTAGTGCAGTGTAAGTGTAAAACTAGAACTAACACTATACCAAGAACTAGAATCATACGGGTTTAGCCGTCTTTAGAGACGTGCGGCTAAACCCGAAAGATTCTAGTTCTAGGTATAGGGTTGGTTTTAGTTTTACACTTGCACTGTCACTAGAACTAACAGTATACCTAGAATTAGAATTATTCGGGTTTAGCCGCACGTCTCTAAAGACGGCTAAACCCGAATAATTCTAGTTCTAGTTAGGGTTGGTTCTAGTTTTACAGTTGCACTGTCACTAGAACTAACACTATACCTAGAACTAGTATCATTCGGGTTTAGCCGCACGTCTCTAAAACGGCTAAACCCGAATGATTCTAGTTCTAGTTAGGGTTGGTTCTAGTTTTACAGTTGCACTGTCACTAGAACTAACACTATACCTAGAACTAGTATCATTCGGGTTTAGCCGCACGTCTCTAAAGACGGCTAAACCCGAATGATTCTAGTTCTAGTTATAGTGTTAGTTCTAGTTATACACTTGCACTGTCACTAGTTATAGTGTTAGTTCTAGTTTTACACTTGCACTGTCACTAGAACTAACACTATAACTAGAACTAGAATCATTCGGGTTTAGCCGTCTTTAGAGACGTGCGGCTAAACCCGAATGATTCTAGTTCTAGGTATAGTGTTAGTTCAATAAAAATATGCAACATAGTGTCACCAGCTGTCTTAAGAGAGGTAGGGCTAAACGGAATGTTGCTAGGTCTAGTGTTAGTTTTAGTGCTAGTGTTAGTCTAGTATTACTTGTTAGTCAGCTCTAGATTGTTGTACTAATCTTACTTTATTGTATTAATCAGTTATATTAGTTTTAACCAATTTTATAGCAATCTAAAAAAGAATAATCCCAAAACAAAATAAAGCTTGTAGCGCGTGCAACAAGAATAAACTATTTGAGGTCGACCATTTGTTGTGTGTCAAAACAAACGTGACTTTAAACTTCGTCTTTTCCACAAAATCGATACTCAATCTTCTAAAAAACAATTTCGGTTGCGTCAAGATAACTTATTATGACTCTTTGTTATAACGCTGCGGTAAAAAAAACATAAAATTAATAATATAAATGAATGAGATAAAATCCTATATAATAATTTGTTGCAACCTCTAACACGTTCATTTACATACATGAATATTCACGAAGCATGTACACGGTTTGAGATTAAGGATTTCAACGAACCCATTAAAATTGAAATGGACGTCGGTTATGGTGATGGGTGTAGTTAAAACTTGCGTTTTATTTTATTTAATAAAGCGCGAGTTATTACCGTATCGAATGAGTTGTTAAATACTGTGTACATTATAAGAATCGAAACGAGCTGTTGAATCCTAACGAGGACTTACCGTTTAATAACTGTTCGAGGTAGACGCACTTATTGTTGTGGTAGTGACCGTCTCGGACCTCATGTGTAAAATTTGGTTCCAAGATTTCGCCCTTTTCCATGCAGTTGGCAGCCATTAAACTTAACCGGACCGAGAGCTCCTCAACGTCTGCAAAATCAAAGAAAACATAACATTTTAAAATTAGCTTCACGAAGTATTTCCAGTCAATGAAATTGAATGAATCATTTGGCTAAGAATGTATAGGGTGGCTACAAATAGCTTTATATTTTTGCACAATAGATGGTTTAACGGAGTTTTTGAGATTGTTATTGACTTTTTAATTAGATTCTAAAGGATGATAAGTTTTGTGGCGTGAGAAAAAAAATGTTTACGTAGTTAATTTAAAATTCAAGAGAGGTACCAATTTCCAAGAAGATTTAAAGGACGCGAATTGATTTTTTTATATACAATAAACGTGTAAGATCAAGGCCTTTTGACGATGAGAATGTTTAGACTCGGGGAAGTCTAGGGCGAATTTTAGCACAACAATAGTGACTAATCACTGATATTGGCTTCTTTCCAGATTATTTTCAATTCGAAAAAAAGGTGCGGCGGGCGTCAACAAATGATTGTTAATATTGTTAACACATCAGTGTGACGTAAAAGATTTTTGTGTACACAGGAAATAAACAAATACTTAGTGTTTGTAGTGGAATCGGATTGAAATTTGGTTTTCGACTTTACAAGTATATTCTTAAAAATTAACATTGAAACTCGTTTAAAAAAGTGGGATTTTAAAGTGTTCCCGTTGAAAAGTTTTAGAAATTACTACGAGCGAGTATAAAGCAGACTTTTTTAATCCTGCACACAAATCATGTTTAATCCTCGCTGGAAAATCCGCTTATGTTCGTGTATCGGCGAGGCAAAAAAAATTAAGAGGCTTCTATAACAGTTTATCATTTAACACTTAATTTTAAAGTAACTATTTACTGATTTATAACATTCAAATTTGTTTTAACCAAAAAATTTCTCTCTCAATTTTTCACTACATCCAAGTAATATTACTTAAACACAACGTCCTTTAACTTTAGGACATTAAATGTGAGCTACCACTTTATTCCACATTGCGCATCTATTTTTGCCGACCTTTTTACGGTGTCAATGTCGTCACACATTCCAGAGCGCAATTGCGGCCGAACGTGCCTCGCGCTTAGCTGCATTCCTTAAACTAAAAGAACCGAGCGGCATCAAAGAGCCCCTTTGATTTTCCATTTGATCATTATAAAAATAACTTTTTCCAACACAAGACCTCGTCTCTCGAGGTCGTGACGTTTCAAATCTACACGAACACGGCGAAGAACACATCAAAGAGGTGGTTTCTCTATATCGAAAAGAGTTCCGTTTCAAAACACTAGAAATATACACGGGAGGAGAACGTGTTTTGAGAATAAGGATGCTACGAAAACGTAACGAGAAATGCAATGAGAAGCGAAACTCGACGTCCCAACGTATTTTCAGATGCATCCATGCAATGTCATAAACTATAAAGGGCCTTTTATATTCGCGGAGTTGCTCTTTAAAGGACGAAAAATCTGCACGGGGTTAATGGATGTACCTTTTCAACGATGATGTTTTGTTGTACACTTTTTATTTAGTCGTTTCATTACTTAAAAATTGTTCTTTTCATGAAAATGTAATCAAATCTGTCATTGACATAAAAAATGGAGAGCAAAGAATGTTATAAAGAATATCCAAGAGACCCAATTGGTAACAGTGTATATGTAATTTTAAATAAATAATTATGGCTACCAAAAAAGTAATACTAAATGATGTGCTAATAAAACTGAGCGAATGAGCATATTATACTACAAGGAAGGAAATAGACACAAAAGAGTGCAGTAAAAGATAGATGAAAGGCAGACTAGAGAAGAAAACAAACACGTATAGGTCAAGAAGAACATAGTTGAAGAGATAGCAGATGCTGCCTTAATGCATTTTTAAAACTTATTAAACTAGCTGCATTGCAAACAACGGCAGGCAAATCGTTCCACAAAGCAATCGACTGCACTGTAAAAGACCTATGGTAGATTTCAATACTATGGACTGGAATCATGAGTGTAGAGTCCGACATTGATGGAGTGGGCAAGTGATATAATGCTAAAAAGTGAAAGGCATCAGACAAATAAGCAAGAGTGCGGGTATGGACAATTTTGTATAACATAGTAAGCATACGAAATAATCTACGACTCTGGAAAGTCATCATCTGCAAGTTGTTACGATATGGAGTAATGTGCTGAAACTTTGTTCTGATGTCTTTCCAATTTATCCCGAAGGGCTGCGGACAGATCGGGATACGCAGCATCGGCATAATCAATGTGTGGGAAAATGAGAAAATAACAAAGACTATAACGTACAACAGGTCTTACAGACTCCTTGAACTTGTAGCCGCCAAGACATCGCCGAATCCATTACCATACCAAGATTTTTAACCGTATTAGAAAACAGAATAACGGTGTCGCCAAGCCTCAGTTGAAAGGTAGTTAAGGAATTAAATTGTGCCAGCAAGGTGCGAGTGCCAAATGTAATGGCTTGCATTTTAGCTGGATTCAGGTTAAGTCCATAACATCTAGACCAGTCAAATCAGTTTCGAATAGTAAATTGACAGTTGTCAAAGATGCCCTTGTCAATAACTGATGTTGCGCGTATTATTAGTTTAATTGAAGATGGCAAAAGTCAGCGGTACGTTGCCCATACGTTGGGTATACCTCGAACAACAGTTCAGGATGCCTGGAACCGATATGTGGAAACAGGAAATTTTACTAGGCGGCAAGGTTCCGGTAGAAGACGAGTGACAACAGCGGTTGATGATCGATTTATTGTGCTAAACACTCTGAGGAATCGTAGAACGACTGCTGTAGAAACTCGGCATCGTCTTCAAATGGTGCGTGGGGTTGACGTAAGTGAAAGAACCATTCGTCGAAGACTTGCTGAAAGTGATCTAACTGCAAGAAGACCTGCCTATTTGTATGCCATCTGCATACAAATAATAGTTACACGAGATACCATCACTAATACTATTTATGAAAATTGAGAAGAGCAAAGTGCCCAGCACACTGCCCTGGGGAACTTAACATTTGATGTCAACAGGAGGAAAGAGTGCAGTATTCCACGTGTACACGTAAAGACCGATAGGAAAGGTAAGACTGGAACCAAGATACACAAGAAGAGATAAAACCAATTGCAGAAAGCCTAATTAACAGGAGGGCATGGTCCACACAATCAAAGGCCTTACCAAAATCAAGTAACACTAACAAGGTAATACAAGCAGATCCAATATTATCGGTGATCTTAATCAGTGCTGTAGTAGTATCATGAAACGAAAACCTTGTTAATCAGATTAAACTCCTCAAGATATTTCTGAATCTGTAAATAAGCTAAACGTCAATAGCTTTTGACATCGTAAATAGAATAGAAATGAGTCGAAACTCACCAACATGGAATGGAGATTTAATTTTTGTGATAGAAATAACATGGGTGATTCGCTAGATTGACGGAAATATAGACTGTTCAAAAGAACAGTTGAAAATATGTGTTAGGGGAGTAATAACTATATCCAGAATGGGTAAGAGGAATCTGAGTCCAATACCATCTGCTCCGACACTAGTGGACTTGGAGTAAGTTAAAGCATCCCGGACCTCAGCATCTGTAACCAAGCTAAATGAAAAGGAAAGCACGTTGGTAGATGCAAGGATTTCATTAATAGTATTCTGATTAGTTATGTTATCAACCGCCACAGAAGGATCTGCAAAATACTCCGCCAGAGCAGCAGCATCAAGAGTGGGTTGATCTGTGGGAGGCTCTATATGAGTTTCTAAAGACAACCTCTAACAGTAGTGCAATCTTTTAGCCTTTTTGCATCGATTTGCATCGAACTTAGCACGATTGCGCTCCTGTATGAGAGACCAAATCTCATCATTTAGCCAAGGTTCCGGCATGTGTCTAACTCTAATTGCTCGTCAAAGACATTAGACATAATAAACTAGGTTATATTATAAACACAATTTTTGTTAATGCAAAATTAATAATTGTTTCTATTTCTAGATGCTGTTTAAATTGGTGCACACAACATTGATCCAATTAACTACATCGTTGCCAAGGCAATCCTACTTAAATGAGGTAAAAGGTGCAGAAATCTATGTGCGATGATGTATGGGGCGAAAATATAAGAGAGGAGAGTATTACTTAGTATAACTACCAGGAGTACATAGAATTTTCTGGAATATCGTTTATGTAGGCGTTGCAGAGACTGACATGATGAGTTCTCCAGCTCATTTGTAAGTTTGATTTATAACTATTATTATTTCTATATGCAATGAATTTCACTTAAAATGCAATATATAAAAATATATTTTTATAGAAACCAGAGCTACTTACTTTGACCTACATAAAATGCAACATGTCTGAATTTTTCTAGTTTTCGATCTAGTGTTAGTTCTAGTTTTACACTAGCACTATCACTAGAACTAACACAAGACCTAGAACTAGAATCATTCGGGGTTAGCCGTCTTGAGAGACGTGCGGCTAAATCCGAATGTTTCTAGTTCTCGGTCTAGTGTTAGTTCTAGTTTTGCATTAGCACTATCACTAGAACTAACATTACAGCTAGAAGTAGAAACATTCCGTTTAGCCGTGCGGCTCTTAAGATGGCTAAACCTGAATGTTTCTACATCTAGGTTAAACGTTAGTTCTAATGACAGTGGTAGGAAGAGCTAGTTAGCATAAGATATCACTATGTTGCATATTTTTATTACACTAAAACTAGAACTAACACTAGTGCGTCTGAAGACGTACGGCTAAACCCGAAACTTTCTAGGCAAAAAAACAGGCCTTTACTATTAAGCTATGTTACATTTTATGTGGGACAGTGCAAGTACATAGTAGTTTCGTAACTATGACTACTGCATTCATATATTGCAAGTTATGTAAAATTTGGTTTACTAAATTTTATTTGTTTCTATTAATGTGATCTTTTAGGATAAAATTGAACATACAAGAAAGTGACAATAAGACAAAGTTACGACCATCGAAGACTATTAATAGGAACCCTTTAATGCAGGTCAAGTATTCTAGACAGAGTCTGGAGGTCTCGGTTTGTAATAGAAACGCGG